TTGTAGCACTCTACTGTTATTAGTTTGTTTATAAAAACTATGCTCTTGTGGTAAAGTCAGGTGCCTTTTCAAGCTTTTCTTAAACAGAATTTTCTATCGAGTCATTTTCAAATAGATATGTCTATATCAATCTATATCTATAATTTCTTCAGGTATATCATTCACAGGCCAAATATCTGCTGCCTTGATTTCAGGCATATGGAATTTCAAGAGTGTAGCTGAAGTTCAGCATCAAATAATGTGAGCATGAATTAGCTTGAAACAAAAGTAGTGGGTTAAAGCTTGTATCACAGATTTCCATATATGAGGTGTACATTATACTGCAACACTACAGTATAGTGTCACATCAGATGACTGGTCTTAAAGAAAGTGTGTGTGTGTGTGTGTGTGTGTGTGTGTGAGTTTATATTTTTTTTATAAGTTTATTGTGATATTCCAAAGAAATCACACCGTCATGAGCAAAACATTTTTTAATAGCAAACAAATAATGGTAGAGCTAAAATCTGGCAGTTTTTCTGTTAAGACGTGCATCATCACCCTGGAATTTTCTCAGGGAAATCAGAAATGGTCGCGCTAGCTTGTGCGATGTAGGCAAGACAAGAATCACTAAGAAGTGAATCACCTTCATAACACTGAAAAAAAAGCTGTTTGCTTGGTTCTTATCTTGCTTCTTTATCTTGTTAACCTGATATGCTTATATGCATTTTATCATCATCGTAAATATACAGCTTTTTCTGAAAACTCCTGTAAACCAGGAGGTTGATTTGAAAAGTCTCTTGTAGGTCCTAACATGAGGCTTCTTCTGTGGGTTTCTTTGGTGTTGTTGTCGTTGTTTGTGGATTTTTTTTGCTTGATTGATTTCGCCTGTGTTACATCATAAACATGTTATATCATATATAAATCATATAAATCATGGTAATGTTGGTCTCAGGACAACAGCTCCTTTGAAATGGAACGTGTTTTTCTTTTCCTGTTTCTAAACACACACACACACACACACACATCTTGTCCATTTGCCAGTTCCTGCTATCATCACTTTGGTCATTATCACCACAGGCAGCACAAACATTATATTAAAAGGTTGTTTGTGTAGGGATAAAATAAAAATATCACTTTTGTTTGTGTTGTTTGTGTTTTTTGGTTTTTTTTGTTGTGGTAGGAGGTTACTTTTCTCGATCCTGGCCCTAACAGCTTTGGTCTTTGCGACATCTTCACCAGGTTTCTGTGGCGTGACTGTGCATGTTTTGGAAAGACAGTTAGGAAGTTTATATTGCTGTGATAATATGAATCCCTACGGACACAATTGTTTTAGCTGTTGTGACTTTAACTTGGCAACCATGGTTAGTTTGACCCTTGCTGGCTGCCATACAGGACAACAGACCTCAGTGTAGATACGCCCTTCCTTTATCAGAGCCTGGATTATAAGTTTGGATGCATGCAATTGTGGGAGGTGAGGGTGTGTGCTTTGCAGGCAAGTGAATAAGTTTTAGTCATACCGTTGGAGTGAGAGTGTTGGCAAAAAAAGTGCATGGAAGGAAGGGTGAGGGAGGAGGGAGGGTGATTGTAAAGATGATAAGGCTGAGGGTGTGTGTGAAAACACTACCAGTGCATTTTATAGGAGTGGACAGTTCATCACAGTTGTCTTCCTAGTCTCAAAGCTGCAACTCCGGCATCATTTTTTTTTATCAAACTGCTGCTGCAAAGATGTGTCAATCTTATCTTCTGGGCAGTGCTGAAGAGCAACCGAGTGCATTTGCTCAGTTTCACTTCAATATTAAGTTTTGATGTAGTTCATTAGCTTCATGCTGCCATAATTGATCTTTATGTAGGCTATAATTTGTTTTTTTTTAAATATAAATAATTACTATAACCTGCAAAGGGTGACCAAGAGATTGTGTGAAAATTACTTGAAATCACCCACAACAGTTCAAAACCAAAACAACAGTATTCACCACTTTGAAAAAATGAAAATAGTGTTTCTATTCAAAGACTGAAGCACAAATTCCTTGGACAGGCCGCACCACATAGGAAGCCACATTAATTTTTTTGTTGTTGTTGTTTTTTTTCAAATAAGTCCAAGAAGATGTACCTGTTTGTAAACATTATTGTGCTGTAAAGTTGGACTTTTTAACATCACAGTCAATGGGGACTGATGCATTTTTGGCACCTGCCTCCAGTGGCCAATAGCGGAACTGCAGTTTTTGGCACTTCCTGGCTGGCTTCATTTTTCAGTCCTGTAGGTTGCTGCTTTGATAGTAGTTTGTTCCACACTGAGTGTGACCACAAAAACACGCATGCCCATAAAGTGCAAACAATACTTGTTACCATATACAGAAAATGTGTCTATTTTAAATCCCAAAGAGATCCCATCCAAGCCGTAGTACCCAGAGTGTGCCTGTGCAGGCAGGGAGAGGACATACAAACTCCACACAGAGAGGCTTCAGGTAGATCGGGGATTTGAACTCAGGATCTTCTTACTGTGATGTAGTGGTGCTAACCACTGTGATAGACTTGACTACACTATTTAAACAGGGAAAGAAAACATGACTTTGTTTTTTCCTTTTATTCAAACTGAATGAGATAAAGGAAGCATTTTCATTGGTTTCAGCTCTTCTGTTTTAGCCATCTAACCCGTCTCACCTTTACAGCTACAGCTAGAAAGGCAAATGCCCCCTTATAGGTGATTAACACAACTGGCCCAGAAAGGACTGACATAAAGCACGGTCCTCTGAACAGACATATAACAAATAATAACCACATGTATTTAATGAATGCGTTTTCCCTGTGCAGCTGTGAGTTATAAGATAGCTCCCTGAACCGGCACTCTGTCACTGAAACCCGTAATATAAATGAATTTAAATGATTGTCACCGGAGCCTTGGCTCTTACACATTGCTGGCTCAGTATAAACACTCCAATAATGTCATATAAAAACACATAATAACATAATAAGAGAAATTTTGCTGTGGAATGGATACTTTTATCGTTAATATTTTAAGCACCATTTGCTGATAAAACTGTGTGTGTGTGTGTGTGTGCAGGATATCTAGTTGTGGGTACACAACTGTAACGGTATTTCACTTAAACTGAGGATGTGATTCATTCTTCCAGCACGGATCTTGTATGGAATTAATTTCATAAAAAGTCGTCTCAAGATCCAACAGTGTAGCTGTAATTCATGAATACCAAACATTGCTTCAGGTGAGAGTTTTAAGCCAAAGCCTAATGAGTCCAGCTGGTCCGTCTGTGGGTTACCCACTATCTCCCAGGCTTAATTAACTGTCCGTGAGCCCTCTGCAGCCCAGCACATCTCATTAGCGCCACGACATCCAAGTATAGTGTGTGGGAGTTCGCCCACTTACTCAACTACCATTTCTTATCATATCACATCAGTTCTTTTGTCTTCTCCTTTAATCATCTCTCTTGTATCATCATCCGTTTGGTTTCACCTCCCTCTGACCTTTCTTCCATCTTCCTCCGGGCATATATCTGAATCAGAGAAACTCCAGGACGCCTACAAATTATAAGTATTCTACCACAGTGGCGTTTTTCCCCTGCTGTACCTTTCCGTGCCCTTTTCTTTACATATCCCCCAAGTAATTATCCTCCCTTCCCCTTTTCTCTGTCCTTTTCTCCTTCTGTACCATCATTTGGTTCACCTTTTCCTCCCCTCTCCTCATCAGTTGGGATACAAACACACTGGATGCTCTTTCTCTTGAAGCAAATTCCTGACTCAGTGCTTTCCGCTGCACAATTTTCGCTCCCCTAACATTTTGCACCTTCATCGCAACCCTTCATCTTCTTCTCTGCTCTGCAAATGTGCCTCTTTCTGCCGCTGATGTTTTTGGGCCGACCTACCGCACTTAACCTCTCCATCACTCGGTCACCTCCGGTGCCCATCACCTGCTTCCCATCCATTTGTCCTGCAGCACCTCACTTCCCACTCCCCACCCGGGCAGTGCTGTCCCTCAGCAAAGACGTGACCACACATTCATGTAGCCCTTTAGAAGAACCTTACCCACAATGCACATGGTGGAGCGATTTGCATGACAGGCAGTGGTGCATTTCGCAGAGGGAGGGATCGGCCGGTGAATGTACAGAGATAGAGAAACCCATAAAGGGAGCGAGAAGAACTGTAATGTTGGTTTGAATTATTCATAGCTGGTCTATAGGTCGAATAAATGCATCAGGAAAGGGGAAGACACAAGGAAGAGCACCTGTTATCTATCCAGAGTGTGATATCTCTGTAAGCCCAAAGTCATGTATGCTCAAGTCCTCTGCTACTGCACTATGAGATAACAGTATATAGGCTGGCTATGTGTCCACTTAAAGCTCTGAATTTAATTAAAGTGTATTACTAAAGCTAGAAAAAAAGGGTGCACGTAACAGTCATTGAAGCGCCACACTGACTCCACTACATTTATTTGAGTTAAAGCTTTATTTACTATTTTAAATATAAATCTACTAATGAATTGTTACATTCCTATAGATTAAGCTAGCAGCACATGAGATTTTTGTTGTGGGCCAGCCTGTGATACAACATTGGCATTCATGTGTGAGGATTTCACTTTGGTACTTAACCTCAGGCCAGACACCAGAATGGAGTGAAGGGATCAGTCTCACATGAAATCAGTGACAGTCATTTCATATTCCCCATCAGGTCTTGTTTTTGTAATGAGCGAGTTTGTGCCTGAGGTTGCCAATAATCCTTTCCATTTTTCAGCATTCATAGCCTACTCAGCAAACCGATGTTTACACCGATGCATTTGTTTCTAGAACTGTTTAATTGTGAAAGCTAAATCCTGTTAAAGACCAAAATGACACAAATGTCTTGGATTCAATTTGAAATTGAAAATTGTGAGCTAAAACATGTTTGAAAGTCTGAGAAAAGAGCGTGGGAGGGAGAAGAGAACAATTTCTTTGTGTAATTTAATATAAAAAAAAAACCCCTCTGCATGTCATCACACTGACTGTGTTGTTTCTGTGTTTTTTTTTCCACAGAAGTCGTTCTCACTGGTGTTGGAGGCTGTGGATTATGACAATGACACATCGAGTTCAGGCGAAGGTGTGTTTGCACGTACCTGCGTTCCTTTTTATTCACGTGTAGTCAGGAATGTAAATAAAAGGGGGGCTGAATTAAATAACAATAAACAGATGGAAAGTTGTGAGGGTGTTATTATTCCCCTCATCCTCACACATGTCATGTTTTGAGGTTTGAAGCTAGAGAGCCTTTATACAGTCATCGCTTAAAACACCATTAAAGTGTTGAAGGTAAGTGACACGTTTAAAAAATGGAGCCGTCTTTACTGCATTTCCAGCTTTATCTTGTCAAGAAAAGAGTTACTTGTGAGTTTAAATATTAACAATCAACAGTTTTATAGAGGAAAACAACACGGGTGCTTGTTTATGAGCGTTTGCTGTCTGACATGATGAAACAATGTGAAAATATCCTTTGTGTCTTAATGTCTGTGATCTAACGAGTTTAGTGGGCCTTTTATCCAGACCCTTTAATTTCCTGCTCGTCTCAGTGCTGTTCCTCCTCATAATCGGGAAAAGCTCCGTGACAGGGAATGTGAGCGGCATGCTATAAAAAGCAACACACATACACACACAAGCACAGACAGACAGATGTTTCTGTGCCTTCCTCATTCCTGTCATGCCACAATCCTTCCTTTGAGGGACCACTGCACTGCGGTCTCTCAACCTCGGTGCTACCCAGAAGATGGCTGATAGGATGAGAAACTGGGATTTTCACCTCACATTTCTCTTTCGCCTTTCGTCTCTCCTTCGCTCTGCCCTCCAGCGACGCTCTTACATCTTGTTTGCATTATCTTCCGTTTCCACCTGAGCTCCTGACAGCCCTTACATTGGGCCTAAAGCTGTTCGCTAGGCTGACAGCTTAGCTCAGCCCAAACAGAGGCGTTCGGTAGCGGTCTGAATGGACTTAGCGGGCCGTGCTGCAAATCAGAAAGGATTACCAAGCATAACTGTACCTTCTGAAACGGTTCTTGGAAATACCAAGAAAATGTGATGTGCTATGAGCACAGACGGTGTGACCTTCACAGAGTTTTCTTCAAATAAAATGTAGCTTAAGTGTTAACGTGCAGGGGCGTACCTTGATCTGTTAAAGGATAATTCCCGTTGGTTACAACTTTGGTCTTTGGCCTTGTTTTTGTTGAGTATACTGACAAGTAACTGTTTAGATAAGGGAACACGATGGTATCACAGCAATGAAATGACTGTAAAACTTCATACATGCCTGCAGTAGTTCACAGTAAGTAGGTAATATGCAGCAGGTTTTGGCACCTTTATTTTGTTTTATTTAGTTTCTTTCAGTTGTTTTACATATTCTCTATCCCGTTTTATGTTTATTTTGAAGGACACAGTCTTTTATTTAACTTTATTGCACAACAGACCTGATGGAAACACCTGTCACTACAACAGTGAAAATCGAATAAGCAGCAAACTGCAGTCTCCTGAGCAATCATCAAGATGAGTAAACGCGCTCTGTAATAACCAATAATTTAATGGAGGCTGGAAATTTTGCAACACCAGGCTGCATCAGCTTTAACTCATAAGTCAGTGACTGAATGTTTACACAAAGTACGATTTAACAACAACATACAGGATAATATACTCAGAAAATAAACATGTCATTAAGTACATAAAGAAAAAATGAAAAGGCCTGCGTTGATCTTTTGGGCCTTGCAGTTCTTGTAACATCTCATTTCTGCAGTGCTGCCATTTCCCCAGATTTCAAAGGGTTTTCTAGTCAACAAAAAATGTATTATTTAATTCTTGAACTGAATTTTCCTGCTCAGAAGTTTTGCAAAAGTGCCTTTCTTACTGCGTTACTGCCACCAGGGCAATAGCACAGAGAAAACAGTTTCTCACATGCTGTTGGATGTTTTGTGTACGCACCAAACATCAACCTCCGGGGCTTTAAATAAAGCTACAGCCTTCATAACACATGTACAGTGCAGTTTGTTTATAACTCACTAATTAAGGCTTAAAGTTAGGAGCAGGTCTGCTTTAACTGACAGATGGACGCTGACACAGGCTGCTGCTTTTCCCAATTTGCGCTAATTAGTCACTGAACTAGATTTCTTAATTGTATTTGTGCCTTTAATGAAACAATCTGAGAAAATAACTTGTATAAATCTGCGCTTCACTTTTGGAGAGTCAAATTCCATCCATCCATACATTTGTGCATTTTCTGCCACTGTCTGCCACAAAAAAACCAACATGGCTGCTGTCAAAGTCCTAAATTTGAACCTTTAAAACAGGGCTTCTGTACAAAATGCTTATAGTAACTACGTCCATCTCTTCTATACACAGTGAAGACTCCCTCACAGAACAAAAACCCCACAGGGACATTTGTAACTTTCTCAGCATAATGTTTCAGTAAATATGAATCATCTTCAAATGTTTTTTTTCCCATGTTTTCCTTCTGTTCGCGTATTCATTGGGTGATTTTGACAGCATACTTGCTGCTGTGCTCCCCCGTGTTTCAGCTGTACTGATGTTACACCCACAGCCACAAAACTGCGAAAGTGGAATTCAATATTAGAAGCATTATAATCTCGACCAGCTTGTCACCAAAATTCAAGACACATGTTAAGACTTAGTCCCCCATCCATGTGAGAATAGTTTCACTGGGAGTTTATACTAGAATGAAAACTGAAAATAAACATAGAAATGTCATGAGAACCCATGCACATCAAATTAAAAAAAAAAAACCTTCAGCTGATCTATTGGCTTCCACAAGGCTATTGATTCAAAATGAAGTCACGGGGAGGTGTTTTCTCTCATGCAGTGTTTTCTCACCATTGTCAAGGGCAAGCACTTCACAGCTAATACAAGACAGTAGGGGGACAATCTCCAGAGACAAGAAAACGAGTTTTTTTTTAATTCCCTGCAGATACAATCTCTGTTTCTCTGCTGCTTATGTTTCTATAAAGTGTGATTTCAGGAAGAGCTCAGGGCTTCTTGTTTCAGCTGTTCTGCCATCAATCTTTCTGTCTCTTGCTCTCTCTCTTTTTTTAGGATGCCCATTAGCACCAGCCAGAGAGGCTATTCTTCTTGGGGTCCTCCACACCCCTCACATATTATTGTACCATCTTCTCTAATCACGTTACTGTGAAAATTGGGCTCTGTTACACACCTTCCCTGCTGTGCTGAATGATAATTCACTTACTTCTACTTCTTTTCTGGAAGAGAAATGGTGATGATGAAATTAACCCCTGGCCATGCCAGAGTCATAAAATAATGAAAAACCCACAATGCACTGCAGTAGCATAATGAGTGTTTGTGAAACGGGGCCCTCGAGTTTGACTACAGGCGACGGCAGAGGAATCGTGCAGTAGCCGAGCTAACAGTCCGCTCAACGTCCGCCCTGTTCCCATCCCACACACACACACACACACACACACACACACACTCACCAACCACTGTGTATCCCTGTTTTCATTCCTTTGGGTCAAACCGCAGTGATCTCATCTCTCCATCAGGCCGTTTGTTATGTGTGTGTCCTAATAGCTGCTTCCCTTCCTCTTTGACTCTGTTTGCCTCTGGCAGAATCTCTCTCACACACACACACACATGCACACACTCGCACATTCTGTACACTCAGTCTCTCTTCACTGCTGACATACTTCCAATGAGGCTTCCTGTTCTGTCCTCCTATCATGCAATCTTTGCCTGTATCCTCACTAGCATCTCTTAGATACACACATGGCATATACACTGAAACAACACACAGACACACACACACTCACACCTATTCTGAGTACTGTGTGTCTGTTAACACCCTGTCAGAGAGCAATGAAAGTGACTTGGGGATGCCATTGCCTCTGGGAAATCCCCTCCGGGGGTCAGGAGCAGCAGCCACTGCCCCGCTGTTGCCCTGAGGCTTGTCTGGTCCTCTCTCTGCACCTCCCCCTCCTCTCCAATAGCTAATCAAATGTTAAAGAGCTGCCTCATAGGGATGATCTCTTGGATATTTGTGGTGTCTCACAGCTCTGCAGAGCATTTTAGAGCCTCATTGTTTTGGTTATCAATCCCACAAATTCCATCATCCAGTGGTTTTCTTTTGTTGTTGTTGTTTTTGGGTTTTTTTTTGGTGAAATAGCTCTCATAAATCACCTGTACACAACCTGCTCGGCACAAAATGGCAAGCACTAAAGTTAGTGACTCACTGGTGGGTAACTTGTCACATTAAACAGCTAAAAACAGATATTTTTCTTAGTGGGTGATGGAAAAAGAGCCAGACTCCATATGATGGTAATGTTGCTCCATAACTGCTCGATGTGTTAACAGGCGACTATTTGATTGAACTCGTGCCATATCAGCTTTGATGCTAATAATGTTAAGGAGTGTTTAGATTTATCTGCTGAATGTGGACACAGTTCCTCCTTCCCCAGTTGTTTGGCACCCTTTGTTTTCCCAGTGGCAGAACAGCAAACAAAAGAAAGTATTTCTTCCTTCCTTCCTCCCTCAGGTCAGTTGATCGAGCGAATCCTGCTCTCTTCCATGCTGAACCCCGGTGAACAGTGGCAGACTTACCGTTACCACGGACGCTCTTTCAGCCTGGAGTACCGACTTCGTTTCCGCTGTCACTCCAACTACTACGGACCCTTCTGCAACAAGTTCTGCCGAGCCCGCGATGACTTCGTCGGCCACTTCAGCTGCGACCAAAGCGGCTCCAAGGTCTGCATGGAGGGCTGGACGGGGCCAGAGTGCAAAATAGGTAAGAAAAGGAACACAAAGGAGTCCACTGGTGTTTCCTCAAAGTTGTGCATTTGTTTGTGTGTGTATGTATTTTTAAAAATCCAGTATTTGTCTCTATCTCATTCAAATATTAACACATAATCATTTTCTTCCTTTAATGCTCAACAAGACAATGTTTTTGCCAAAAATGCTCCCTTAAATACTAAGTAGGTATTACTGTTACCATCAACAATGCAACACGTTATTAAGTTATCCAGTAACAGGGGTACAACATTAGAAAAATAAACCCAGGCTTAATGTTTGCTGCGATGGATTACACTACTAAAGCCTGTACTGGTGGGAAAAAAACCTTCAAATTCCTCAACACACAAACATATTTTGTAAACTGCCCAGATCAAAGAAGTCAACTAAAAATATTGGAGTCTGTCTCACACACACCCTGTGCAGGTTTGCCAGTTAATCACAGGGTCACAAAGACCCTTACTTCCACTTCAGAATCACTAATAATCTAACACACGTATCTTTGGAGTCTAGCAGGACTTATAAAAAGGAAAGAATCCCACACAGATACAGGTTAGATCATGCAAACCTGACACAGAAAGGTCCCACCCAGCCAGGAGATACAAACACAGAGCCTTGTTGGTGTGAGGCAGAGAACACCCTCCATCACAGTGTCACTCCACAAGTGGTGAACTGACCTAACCTGAAGTTAATCAAATTTTTTCTTGAGATCGTCTTTGTTTTCCTGTCTAATTTTAGTCTTTGAAACTATTTAAAACTATTATTGTGATAAAAGTTTTGTGGATATGTCATCTAAATATTCACACACAGCTTTAATAGCACTCTACAAGGTGAGAACAGGCCTCATTAATAAGGAATAACCGCACACGTGCTTGTCTTAGTGTTAAAAAGACTTCAGGCCATTACACGGTTGTTCTCTGAAACAGTCCATCAGCAAAGACACGCTGGCTACCTTCTGTGGTGAGGGTGTGGGGGATTATTTTGTGTGACTCATCAACTGAGCGCCCTCACTCTGTGACCTCGGAGCGCTGCCATCATGTTGCAGCGGTTGAACTGAGTGAATGGAGGAAGCCAGAGTGGAAACCATGGGAACCCTGAAGGACACAGAGCTAGTTTAAGGACATCCTGCAACCCTGCCCATCTCACCCCTTTCTCACTTCATCTGACTTCCTCCTCGACACGACACTGATTGGACTGCAGGAAGGCAGGAAGCTCGCTCTGTTACCCCCTGCAGGTTACTGTTGATGATGAAGTTCAGGGCGTTTTCAGGGTTAATTAAAGGCATTTTTGACCCTGATATGATGTGGCAGATATTCTGACGCCATACACGCGTCTACTCCATAAAAAAACATTGTGTTATGGTATGATTCCAACCGTGTTTTGTTTTTTTTGGCTTTGCAGCGGTGTGCAGGCAGGGCTGTCATCAAACCCACGGCTCTTGCGATGTACCTGGAGAATGCAAGTAAGTGTATACTTGTACCGATATAGAAAATTGGAAATATGAAATATTATTTTGACTGTTACAATATAAAAATTGAGGAATGAAAACTTTAGTCAATACCAGAAGATGACAAAAAATGTGATTTTATATGAGCAGGTTAACTTTTTAAACCAAACCCTTCAGTCATTCATTCATAAATGGCCAGCCAAATTAATGGGAGTTTTTCTTTTAATATACACTAACCTTATTTTTAAAGCATTCTGGTTGGAACAAACAGCCAATCAGGAGAAAGGTGACTTAAATATGATGAATTGAGGGACTCTACCAAGTTCAATCCAAAAATAATGCACAAAACTGTAAATACACAAACTTAGATCCCCTGTAAGTCCAGCAGTAGTGTTGCGGGTGTAGATTTAGTGCAGCTATCACATTAGAGGGATCTATTCTCTCTACAGATAAATTAACTTCAGTTGTAAAGTGGGTCTGAATGTACACTATATCTACAAAACCTAAGGGGGCACCTACATTGCATTACACCTGCAGGAGCTGCTTGGCTATGCCATGAAGATCCCGGTACTCAGTTTTTACACCGAGAGAAAGTCTGGAGCTCTGTTGTTGAGCCAGCAGTAGACTGACTCTACAGCTGGTGACCCCGCTCTGTAACTTTATGTGACTTTCTACTTTGTGACTGAGTCACTGTGCTCCTTAAAAGCTTCCACTTTGCAATAATACCACTTACAGTTGATCGTGGAACATCTAGGAGGGAAGAAATTTCACAACCTGACTTGTTGCAACGACTGCATCCTATTACAGTAACACACTGGAATTGAGTGAGCTCAAAGTTTAAGAGGAGTGGCTCAACACTTTAGTCCATATAGTATAGATTGATCTGCACACCAATGAGCTCCCACGTAAGGATTTAATTTGTGCTGTGCAGCATTTTCAAGTAACAGCGTCTTCCACAGAAGTCTAATGAAGCAAATAAAATCATCATCGAAACATCCCTATAGCATTTCTATGACTATCATAGCAACAGCAGCTTCATAATGCAGATAATGAGATTCGTGGTTGTTCAAATCTGCCTCTCTGCTCTCGTCTTCTTCTTCTTTTTCTTTTAGGTGTCAATATGGCTGGAAGGGTCAGCTGTGCGACCAGTGTATGACGTTCCCAGGCTGTGTGTATGGGAGCTGCACTGAACCTTGGCAGTGTGTGTGCGACGTCAACTGGGGAGGACTGCTGTGTGACAAAGGTCCGACATGTGACCCGCTCCTTTTCTGTAGTAGAGAAGAAGAAAGTGTTTATGTGCGAGTGAGGGGGTTTCCACCCTTTTTTTCCAGTATCTCAGATATGCAACTGGAGTCGTGTGTGTTTAGGATAATGCGCTGGCTTGTAGACACACAAAGTGATCAATCGCTAGGTAAATTTAACCACACAGCATGGCAGGCACTATAAAATTGAAAACCAAATAAAAGTTTAGACAGAAACTCTTGGAAAAAGCGAGCCGACTAACTCTCAGCTGTCCAGCTGTCTACTCAGTGACCTTTTTGCACAGTTATACAGAATTCATGATTATTAATCTTATTTCTCTTATTTCTTTATGTCATGCTAAAGATACTTACTGTGTCACCTTTTTAAATTTTTGATTCTTTTCTATATATGAACTCGTAGGTTTACAAGAGTTTGGATTCAGCAACACACTGATGGATCCTTTGTTGTCCACAAGAGCTTCCAAAGACTCATTTAATATAAAAACACAGTAGAAGACTACATCATACGTAAAGATGAAAGTGCTCTGCCGTGTATTGTATGTTGACCAATAACTCATCCTGTCTGTGTGGCTCTGAGACAAAGAGAGAGGCATTGTGTGTGCAGTCTTAGTGAGGTGTGGTTCTTCACACTTCTCTCCATGCATGATCTTCTGTATAAGATAAGATAAAAGTCCCCGAGGATTTCGAGCGTCAGTATTTTCCCACCAAACTGTAGCAAAGTTCACCCAGTATTATCCCAGCATATGACTCCTACCTCTGTCCCAGTGTGGGAGCCTAACCAGTGCCCACGGGACAGCGTATTGTGCAGGAGAAAGGTGATAGCCTTGGGTAAGGTGAACGTGAGCGGGGCTGGGCTGGCTGCTTTTAACTAGGTGGGGTCTTAAGCTGTTTTTGCGCATTCAGAAAGGCTCTGTAAAGAGCTGCAGTGAGACAAAGAGGCCATGGGCACCGAGGAAATGATTAAAGAAAGCAAAGCTCTAAACAGCCTCAACAATGGAGGAACAAGCCCTGCAGCTACTGGCCTGCACAGTCAGCCCACAGAACAGACCTGGATACACCAGGCCTCTGTGCGGTGTGTGTGTGTGTGTGTGT